CCTACCTACAAAATGTAGATAAAGAAATACACTTTGCAGTTTGTAAGAGAATTAGCGATGAGGTAGGTAATTATATTTACTCCATTGTTACAGATGCTGATCACTTTTTTCTGATTATGCCAATCAAGACAGAGAAGATGGGCATTGCATGCATAAAGTGAAGAGGTGATAAATGATAGGCTTTTTCCGAGAACTTCATTCTCTGGAGAGAAATAGAAATTCTGTCAACGCTTAGCCTTACCAAAATTTAAAAGCATCTGTATGTCTGAGGGATGTATTGCTAAGGAGAGAGCGGATCACAGATATGGTGCCTACTGTGTTGAAAGTCTAACTGAGCCAAATAATTTGGATTTTTTTTGTTGGCTTTTCATGGAGAAAGGGTGCATAATTTCCTTGTGCGTAGGCAACCATTTCAAGAATGTCACATGCCAGGCTTTGGATGCCTACCCCTGATTTCCCTTGAATATGGGACACACCCTGTGATACGTGGCTGCTTTGCCTTTGAGCTGAGTTTCCCAGTGGAGCACTGGCAAACAGATGAAGGTCATAACCAGAGTTGGTAACAGAAAATAACAATAGCCAAGAATCCATAGCTGGTTATGTCTAAAGTCCTATCTGATTGTGAAATAGAATAAGAAACTGAACCTTATAAAAGGGAGAGATTTTTAATAAACTTTAAATCCCATTGAAAAGGACTAAAAAGGGTGGACTTCACATGTAAATGAAATTCCTCTTAGAGAATTTTGAATAACAGGCCTTCTTAGTAGCTATGGAAAAATCATTTCTGACCAGAACGACCATCTCCAGAATGTGAGTTGACCCGTATAGTCAACAATGAGGATGGATTAACACACTCATATTCAAATTTTATTTTTGTACCTGGTGCCAAAGGTATTGATTCAGTGAGCTACTCTTATGAAGCACCTAGATATTCTTTTTCCTACAAGTACACATAGGTTAGTGGTGTGGACAAAAGGTGTGAGAAACCTCTGGGCACTGTACCTCTGACCTCTGGGCACTGATTGCTGCGTTGTGGAGGGTGGGATGAGGACAACAGAACAAGTGTCCTAAAGGTAACCTCTGGGGCACTCCAAGGAGGACAGTGCAGGTTGCTGATGGGAGGGTGCTGTGCTTCCTGCCTCCTGGCCAAGTGCACTGCCTTCCAGGAGGCTCCCTCAGGCTTCCTTAGCAAGAAACACGGAACCTATGCCACCTGCTCATTTTCTTAGTATTATCATCAACCAAGTTATGTTTTTTTGTTGAGATGCAGGCTTTGCCAATTTCTCAGTGAGAATTACTTGATTTTCCCTGCTGCCTTGCTATAAGTCCGCAATGGTCGGCAAAAAGTTGGCAATGACACCTGTCCAACATGCACATAGTAGTCTTTTGCTATTTATTTCCAGGATTTGAGGATCAAGTGACTCCTGAGTTTTAGTCTTTCCAGCCACCCCTTTGGGCAAAACTCCTTCCCAGTCTGCCTGGTGGGTAGAGACTTGAGCCTGGCTGCCTGATCACTTATGCAGAGCATCTTACACTGTGGTGACTGTGGCCAGGACAGAAGCCTGCTTGAGGACAGTGAGTCATGGGAAGAGCGGTCTCCAGCAGCTCAAGTATGTCCGGATTTCCTTCCAACGCTGACACATGCGTTTATACCTCATGCCATCATTCAACAAACACTGAACAGACTCTGTCAAAGACTGTGCTAGACAGAATCTGGTGATATTCATTGATTTATTTTACAAATGTTTGCTTCATGCCTAAGGCATAAAAGATAAATGAGGTACAGTTGCTGCTTGCTGTGAAGTTAGTTTAAGCCTTCTTCGAGAGAGGGAAACTCCTTTCAGCTAACAATCTCGCCAGATCTCTGTTCAGGGTTCCTGAGTTCTAAGTGAACCTGTATTTACACAACTCCTTGAAGAGTGTGCTTGTTATTCATCATGCAACACAATTTTCGCCTCAGAATTTCCTCATATACATTGTTGACTCATAATTATTTGTAGGCATTTTATAGTCTTCACCAACTTTTTGTGAGTAATGTAAACATTCAAAATCTTTTCTTTATACAATCTACTTCAGTGGTTCTTGTTATTGTCTGATATGTCAGGGAGGATGACAAAAGTCCTGAAAAATACAGTGCACTAAGAAAATTGAAGAATTTAGAATATGGGTTAGGGAGAGAAAAAGACACCTATTTAATACCTCATTTAAGAATCCTATCTCCCCTTCCCTCAGAGTAGTCCCACCCTCCACACGGTGGTGATTTATCTTAAACAATTTGTCAGAAGGGGTTGGAGTGTGCTGCTACAGCACAAAATCTAGCACCTACCATAGTAGAATTGGTTTAGAGTGAATTATAAGAGTCTGACTACCTCAGTCATTCTGAAAGAGAAAACAACAAATAAGAATTATGGGGAGGGAAACCTGCAAGATGTTGTTACAGATCACGAAAGAGCATACGGACCCTGTGTCTTCAGGACATGAAGATAAGAGAGGTTCTTAAAGACCGTTGTTAAGAAATACTCTCGGGGCATTCCTTCCTCTCCAGTACTTTTGAAACGTTTGAGGACTGGCATTATTTCTTTGAATGATGAGGAATTCAGCCATCGGACCAGGTAGTTCTGGGCTTTTTTGATGAGGGACATTACTTACTGACTGATTCAGTATCCTTACTCATTGTTGATCTACTACAACATCCTGTCTTCTCCTGATTCAGTCTTGGGTGGTTAAATGTTTCTAGAAATGTATCCATTGATTTTCTGGGTTAACCAACTGGTGGGTACATAGGGTTGTCTTGTGATACTCTGTATTTCTGCATTACCTTGTCATAGCTCATCTTTTACTGCTGAGTTTATTTGAGTTTTTCTCAGTTTCTAGTCTTCCTAAGAGTTTATCAAGTTCATTTAACTTTTCAAAGAACTCCATGTCGCTGATCTTTCCTATGGTTTTAGTATTGTCTATTTAATTTGCTTCCTTTCTCTCTCTCTCTCTCTCTCTCTCTCTCTCTCTCCCTCCCTCCTATGAATTTTGGACTTGGTTCGTATTTGTCTACTACCAGCTGGTATAATGCTAGATTGTTTATTCCGGATCTTTCTTCCTTGTTAACAAAGGCACTTATTGCTATAAACTTTGTTCCTAGAACTTTTCTGGCTACATGAGGCTTTGCATTGCTGAGTGGCCCTAGACTACAGAAATCAATGATGTAAATATAAAATGAATCCATTTCCAGAAGCTCTTTCTAGGTGTCAAAGGGTCCATCCAGTTGTGAGGATAAGTATTTCTTGTAATTCCTCTCCCTGGCTTAGTTTAGGCAGAAATGTAAATGAATGTCCACACTCAGCTTCACCATGAAAACATAAGGAACTGAAAAACACCTTCAACATCCAACACTTTCTAGACACCTCTGGATGTTCTGGCTTCTGTATTACTGGTCCTGAGATCCTGATAGGAAGTGGCACATCCTAAACTCCATGAGTCCATCAAAAGTAGAGATAGTAGTTTGGATAAACACAAAGAATGGAGAGGCGCCTTAAAAAGTTCCGGCCAGATTCCTCATTTATTTAGGTCTCATCTTAAAGTTTATAGTTAGGGTCCAATCTTTAATCTGAGAGCTAAAATTTACACCTCAGTGTCTCTTTAGAACTGCTTTGGCTTTTTTTCATTCTGCAACACATATAGTTAAGAGGCAACACTTTCATTGAGTTTAGGGTACTCATTGTATAAAGAAATGGGCTTAATTCTCTCTGAGCCACTCTTTGATCTCTTGCTATTTCTTCTTCTTTAAGTGGCCTTGGTCAGAATGTGAGAAACTGAGCTCTCTTCAAATATTCAAGAAGCACCAGACCTGAGACCTTCACCAGAGTGAAGCAGAGCTCAACAAGGTCAATTTGGTATTGTAAAGAAAGTAGTAAACTGTCATACATGAAAATATGGTTTTCATCTTTCTTTCCCATTCAGTCCAGGTCTCATACCCACGTCTCCTAGGATATCTCCCCCCTGCCCCACATTATACCCCACCTGCTTCTTGACTACGTAAAATGTACAAGCTGCAGCATAATCCATTCTCCTAATGAACAACCCTCCATTCCAGTTGCTCGTTCTCCTTTCACCTAATATGACAAGTTGAAGAAGAATAATTTATTAACAAGTCTGCACTAAATTACACCCCTCTGTCTTCAATCCGCAGTCAAATATTAATTTTAGAAAAGTAATGACCCAAATGCTGAAGCATATATTATTCTCTTAGATGTTGGGCAGCTCAAATCTCGTCAATTTGTCAAGGATGAAGCAGGCAGGTGGGTGAGAGTGGCATCGGGATTTCAAGCCAGAGGGAAATACTGCACTAGAGGAGGAACAATTACAGAATCAATGCCACAGTGTGGAAGAAAGTCCCTTAAATGGTCACCTACTCCTAATACATCACTAACTTACTGACGTTATTCATTCATCTGTGCAAAGAAGTTTAGTGTTGAATCTAGGTCTGACATTGTGTCATACACGAATGTCTTTATGCCTTGAAGGGATTATATCCACAGATTTATCGAGTAATTCGCTCTGTGTGCACAGGGATTTGCAGGCTGATAAATACAAACAACTGATGTGTTTTTCTCTTACGGCAAAATGTAGAGCAAAGTAAATGAATGAAACAGATCAATAAGAAAGAGCATGAAGATTTCCTTGCAGAGGCCACCTACTCCATAATTTCCTAATATTGCCCAATAAAAACGTTAATTCACATATTAGATGACAATGTTTTTATACACCTCGGTACGTAAATTTTTCTAGACAATAAATATTTCAATTTCAACATTTATAATAATTATTTTAGATGTAAATTATTTCAAACTGAAAGTTGAAGATTCCAAATGCCATTGTTTCCACATTAAGAAAAATGGTGTACAAAGAAGTGTGTTCATAAAAAACAGATCCTGGGAGAAAATGTTTGCTGTCTTACTCTCTTGGGATGTAATCGCAAGGTCTTATGCATGGCTTTAAGCTTTGTCTTGGTTAATATGTCTCATTTGTCTTTGTTATATTGAATCTTAAGTACTTTGGACATGTTTGAAATTTTTTATGATAAAAGTTTAATTATATACAGTACATGGAAGACTATTTCTGCTGCTTACCCTAAATAGTAAAATATCGATCACCATGTTTGGGCACAAGTTTTCTCTCTAATGAAATACCAAATGTGGTTTTTAACACTTCATCTATTTCTTCCTCCTTCAGAGTCTTAAACTCTACCAGATCTGTGTTGTCCTTATAACTGAATCTCCTGTAGGTGAGGGTCCAGCCCACTAAGCAGTGAACCCCTTCTGCAGTCTGCAAGGAACAAAAAGATTTGCTTGTAAACACAGATGCCGGTGATGTCTGAAGGTAAATATTTATGGATTCAAAATCTTCAATTGTTCGAGGTTCAAGAGTAAAACAATAGATTTTCCGGTATATTTTCATTTCTAGAAGATCAGAATTAAGAAATTCTTGGTGTGGAATGTACTGCTCTCTCCTGATTTGGTCCAGGTACCAGATTCCATTTTCTTCTGTCAAGCGGAAAATGGCAGGCACTTGAGGTTGATCCTTCCCAGAAATTAATTCCAGAGGCTCCCAGAACTGGTAGGAGCGTCCAAACCCAGCATCAACAATGTAGTTTCTGCCCCCGATGGTTACCTGTACTAGAAGGTGAATCATACCACTGCTATATTTATTGGCTGGGGTGTTATAAACATATCCTCCCAAAATTGTGGTCTCAAACCCTATTGTGGTCAGAGCCCAGTATAGAATATGATTGACCTGGAGACACCACCCACCCCGTTTCTTTCTCACAATTTGATCAAAAATGGCCTTTAAGTCTAACTCCATGGATTCTCCACAATGAATGTTAAGGTTTTCAAAAGGAACAGCTCGAATCTGGTGCTGAAGAATGTCAGTTAATGTTTCCAAGTCCAATTTGTTCCTGGAGTTCTTATAACCAATTCTTTCAAAATATGCTTCAATATCCATGGTTCCCTGTGGCAAGTAAAAGAAACCAAGAAGAAACATTACTACTTTTGCACTTGGATTTCCAGCAGTAGGCTAATATAGCTACAATGTATTTTAAATATGTAAATGCAATGTTTAGAAATAATTTATATAAATTGATTTACATTCCTAATTTCATTAAATATTCTCAGTGACCCCAGCACAACTGTCTTACATCTCCTTCATCTTTCCAGTATCAGATATTAGAAATCCAGATGAAAAGAGGAACCAAATGATAAGTACCTTAGATGTGGTTTTCTCATTGATAAAAGAAAAACATATTCTACTTGGTACCCATAAAATAGGCTTCTAACACTTCCTCATAGGAACAGGTGAGTTACCCAGTAGCATAGATGGTATTTATGGAAACTGACTCAAGTTACTCATCAACTAAAACAACATAAAATTCTCCATTTAAAGATTTACATTGATTTAGTCATTGATTGGTGGACTCATTCACTCATGAAATACTGTTTGGGCTTGGGTGCTTGCGTCCAATCCCCAGCACCAAAGGTGAAAAAAGCTTCATTAAAACTTTTAAAAATTAGTAAATCACCTTAGAGGATACGTTCCTTATGTGTATACCATCTCCCATTAATCTAGCTGACCCCTTGCATTTCTTCTCTTCCTTAGTCGCATCAGCACTCTTTCACATTTGTGCAGACTCCACATCTCTCACAATCTGCTTCAGAGAAGATGAGGGGTATTTGGTTAAAGTTCTCCAGCACCTGTTTGACTCCTTAAGCAGAATCTATACAGAACATGCATGGAAGAGACTTAAAAACTGATGTAGAGAAGAAAGGTGCTTTGTACTCAATGGGCCATTTATTGCTCATGCAGGCATTTCCTATTATTCCTTTTAAACCATGTAATATTTCTCAAGTTTTTGTTTCCTCCTCTGTGAACCCTCATCACTCAAAAGTGTAACAGAAAAACACACAGAAGATATAAACATATTATATCTGTGTATAATATACATTGGTGTGAAGTGATATTTTCCGTAAGTGAAATAGAAATAAAATGGGAAAAAACAAGAAAGATTCTGAGAAAGTTCGACTCTACATGCTTCAGATTGGAATATATTCTTGTTAAATTTTTGAAATTAAAAAATTTATTTATTTACTACTCCTCTTTATTCTGCTGCTTTTGGTACTTTTTAAAAAAGATGATAAAGTGTTGAGTTGGAATTCAATAATTTCAAATTGCTTAGAATGAAATCAGTTTTGTTTTTTGGTTTTTTGTGGGTTTTTTTTTTTTTTTTGGTACCAGAAATTGAACTCAGGACCTTGCGCTTGTGAGGAAGGCAGTGGCACCAGTGAGCTAAATCCCTAGCCATGAAATCAGTTTTTGTTAGGGGCCTCAATACTAGGAACATGTAGAAAAATAATGGTTTTCAGTGACTCCATGTAAAAAGACATGTATTTCTAAGATGTTGTGTGTTGTGAAAGCTCCTGCAAAGTAGTTATAAGAGAAAGAAGTGAATGAAAACACTCTGGTTTCCACGTGGATCTGTGACATCTCTGTACAGGAACAGATCTTTATCTCAGCTCCATTCACACAGGAGACTCACAGCAGCCAGAGTGACCACACCCAGTGAGCCCATTGAGAACCGCGGGAAGGCATTTTACACCTGTCTCGCTAAGCTGAATGTAGGTTGATGGTCAGTGTTAATTCGGGAGTCTTAGGATATGTCTTCTTCCTGGGAAAAACTAAACAGTAATATGAAAGTTTCCAGAGTATAGGAAATGATTTTTCTCAAAAATGAAAATGTAGTTTTGTAGACCATAATTTAAGAAGATTATACAATCAACAATAACAGACAGAGTTGACAAAATGGTAAAATGAACAACTGAGTCGCCCTGGGGTGGGTGTGGTAAGTAAATGATAGGAGATGGAAGAAACTTGAAGAGTCTAAGTCTGGCGGTTCTAGAAGCCTCCACAAAGGGTCACAGAAGCAACCACCACAACAGGCAGGATAACAGAATCACGCTCCATGCCCCTTGTTACAACCAAAGCATGTACTAGGCAGAAAGTGCAGTATGCAGCTGTAACACTGAGGTTCCTTGTAGGCCACAATAAAACTATGGCTGGGAATAGAGGAACAGGAAAATAAAGCAATGCCATTCACGTAGACTGTCATCAGAAAGGAATATGGACCACTTCCATACAGAGCACCCACCATGAGAGAACATCCTATCTTATTCCTCTTTCCTCACCTCCTCTCAAAAGATAAAGGAGCCCAAGCTTCATCCCAGGCAGATCTCTGACCGGCCACACTAGATTCAAGAAAGAGAAGCACAGTGGAAACACAGCTACACATACATGAATATGATGGCAGCACATAAAAACATAGTATGGGATTGGGATTTGAAGATGGGTGTAACATGCAAAGTGTACATGTTCAAAAAGATAAGCAGTGCAAGAAGAAAAATAAGCTGATTATGAAGAAGTTCTGCACACGAACTTGGCACGATAGAGCATGTAAATTATATTCAACAACCAAGAGCTGAAAAACTCGGTGACAAAATAATATGGCTGATGAAAAGAAAGATTTCAGAATATAAAAAATGGAGTAAGGACAAATAGAAACATGATTAATGGTAGAAAAGAATTGAGTAGATACAACATAATATCATATTAATTATAAGTACAGCTTGATATTCATAATAAAGGTTTATAAAAACATACACTTAATTTAAAAGTCAACTAGAAACTAAAGGAAATGGAAGGAAGAAAATGTATACAGTGCTTCTGCAGAGGAGACTCTGAAAGTGTGATAAAAATACACAGAAGATGTATACATAGTATATGGGTACATGACATGCATTGGTATGAAGTGGTATTTTCCGGAAGTGAAACAAAAACAAAATGGGAAAAACAAGAAAAATTCTGAGAAAGTTGGATTCTACATGCTTCAAACTGGAATATATTCTTGTTCAATTTTTGAAATTTAAAACTTTTTATTTATTTATGACTCAAGCATCCAATAGAGGAAGAAAACACTTCACAATGAAGAAAATATCAGGTCAGCAACAGAATGTTTCACAGAATTACACAAAGGTGAGGCAAACAAACTATATTCATAGTGAGGTGCAGAAAAGTGCAATCCTGAAATATTATTTTCGTTACTATTATTTGAATGAAAATAAGACATGCATACAAAGACAATCAGATACATGAAAGAACTTGAGAAATCCAACAAATATGAGCTATCTTGATGAAGCATTTGACCTTCATTGGCCAGGGAGGAAGGAGATGAAGAGCCAACTAAGAAACAAGGCATGAGGAAGAACTTCTGTGCCCATGGGTTCCTTTCAATACAGAACGAAGAGTAGAAAGATGATGAGGATGTTCACTGCTGTAAAGGCTACTTCAGCTACACCGAAATAGAAATAAATGAAAATTAAACCTGAAGACCGAGAAAAGATCAGACTGAGAAAACCTGGTCTCAAAGTTTCAATATTAAAATGGTTAAAATATAAACTTAGGGACATTACGATCTTGAATATTTTTATTGAGCAGACTCAATTCATGAGTCAGACAGCATCAGACCTCAAGCAATTCAATGCTGTGAGTGGGAAGGGAGGAGAGTGGAAAGCAAGAGGGAAAAAGGGAGGTGGGGAAGAAAGAGTTTTAGAAGACATGCACAGAAACCAACAAAAAATGTATTCGGTAGACAGGAAGTTCTCAGCTAGAGGTTAGCAGATCGCTTCTCATTGGGAAGGTCTCCATTATCCTTTTATTGCTTACCTTGGTAACACAAGCACTACAAATGTTCAGCCTGATGTTTATCCAACTAAAATATTTCTTAACAGAACATATTTTCATTACATTATGGAAATGAAAAGCAGAATTGGGGAGGTATAATCTAAGGGAGAAATAGAGCCAGAAAAGAATTGGAAAGTACTCTTCCTATCTAAAGTAATTTGAGAAAAAAATGTAAATACACGGACTCACGCGGACCCTTACGATGTCCTCTGCATCAAAGAGGTCCCAGAATGAAATACGTTTAGTGCGCCTGGAGAGGGCACATGGGGTTGATGAGGCTTCAGGACTTCAGTTGGTGTGGGGATAATCTTTCTGTTAAGACATCTCCATCCCTTTATATTTCTCTTACCATTGGCCCGCTTCCCTCATCTGGCCTATGTTGTTATCATGAAGGACCTGCATGTGAGGTTCTCCCTGGAGGACCAAGGGCTCCTGAAACTTTCTTGCCCCCTTCTGCTGACAGCTGGAAGTGCAGAGACTGGTGTCCTTGCCAGAATAGCCCTGGGGCAATAGTTTGTTGGTACAGGGTCCCTTCGTATAGCTGCCTTGCTTTCAGTCTGAACTAGGTGTTTTGTTTTGTTGAATAATTGGCATTTAACCCAGCTCCTGACATAGTCTTTGAAAATACTCTACCACAGAGCTAAAGCCTACAGCCTTTTTAGTTTTTAAAGACAAGGTCATGGTGAGATGCTCAGCCTGGGCTGGAACTTGTGACCCTCCCACTTCAGCCTCCCCAGCAGCTGGAATTACAGGAGCGCTCTGCTGCGCAGAGCTGGACAAACATGAAGTTAATAACCAGCATTCAGACACAGTTGAATTTCTCCCAGCATTTCACTAAGTCACTCGCATTATTGTTCCAGTGTCTGCTTTGGGGGAACTGAACTCAGGTCACCTTGGTGTTCATTTTGGGAGCAGAAAGCTGAGACACACAGAATGAAGCAACATCCAGAGGGCCTTGCCACCCTGTACACATTTGGCTTGTGTGTGCAGATCTGATGAATGTCATTTTGTCCTATGGTCAAGAAGCAAGAGTTAGACCAAGCGATGTGAGGGATCCCTGAATGACCCCACCCTTGCATCACAAGATGCTCTCAAAGAGTAGCTTGGCATGCAGAGCTGTCCTTTCAGTCTCAATCCTAGCATCTCTGCATCTTTCACATACAACAGCAGTTTTCAGATTTTTTGGCTGAAAAAAAAAACTCGATTTTTTTTTCAAAGTGAGGTTGTGAGCAAGAGCCAAGAACAGAGGAATTAAAAGGAACTGATCCAGAGAGAGACTTCCCCTAAGATGCTGCTGTAATAGTTTAAGGCTACAAGCAGCACTCATACAGTAGATAGGGCTTCAGATGGAATCTCCTACACCTTCTGCATGGACTTCTGTCATTACTGAGTAGAATCTACAAGGAGAAGCACTGAGCCACTTTTCTCCAACTTGTGTGCTTTTTCCTTTCCTTCTCCTGTGTTTTCTTTGTTCTTTTCCACAGTGAAGTGCATGGCAGTGGCATCACAACTAACAGGCCCTTACAGTGTGGAGATGGCAAAGTTCCTGCCCTGCTGTTCACACGTAAAGAGCATTGGTCAGCTGTGCTCAGGGTACGGGACTCCTGCATCTCTGCCAGGACTCCCAGCAGCCAGGCCAGGGCTGTGGGGCATTAGCAGCACACCAGTCAGGCAAATCGAAAGGGAAACTGAAGCTAAGACTCAGCCAGCTGAGTACACTGTCTCTGGGAGGGAAGTAGCTAGAGGATGACAGTTAAAAAGTTCCTTCTGAGGGACAGGGTGGAGTCAGCTGTTTTGAGTTTGAAGCAATAAAAGGAGGGGCCAAGTAAGGAAAGAACAGTTTATCAGAAAGGAGCCAAAAAGTATGCTGCAACTGTGGGCATCCTGCCAGAGCACAGGGCAGAGTCCAGAACAGCTTCCCAGGCCCCTGGCTCCTTGCTGCTATGGAGTTTTCTAGACCATGCTCAGGGCGATGCCTGCCTAGGCTGACCAAAAGTGAAAATGCTTATTGAGAGCCTTGGAGACCCTTTCAATTAATCCTCCTTCCAGTGTGATAAAACTTCCTAGAATTCCTCTAGTCCTTACACATAATATCTAGCAATCTTACTGGATATTTGAGATCATTAGGAGACTTCTAATCAGTTAATTCAAGAGAAACAGGGATTGTTATGAGCCTGCTCCTTACAGGATTAACTGAGCCCCTCAGGATACACTGTTAGAGACCAAAGATAGGAGACATCAGTATGAAAAGTATTCAAGGAAAAAAAAGTACTCAAGAGGAAAATCCCATTGAGGAATTTCTCTCAGACACCGCTATCTTTTAATATGCCCACTTAACTCTCACAGTAAACATTTAAGTGAGTTTCATTATTAATTTTCATTTTACAACTGTGGAAACAGAATTTGTAAGAAACTAATTGACTTCCTTAAATTCTTACCAGTAGGATGTGGTGCGGCTATGAGTCTAACTCACTTTGAACCAAGTGTCTGTATACCAAAGTACTTAGAGCATTAGATCCCACATATGTGCCACCCACACCTTCTGAACAAATTTTAGAATTTGAATTAGAGCCGAAATAGAATCTAGTTCCCTAGACTCCCTATTGAGGTCAGACGTCACTCCGTTTACAAAGTACTTAAAAAGTCAGTCCCCGAGCTTTACTTACCCAGTGATCAGGAACTGCAACCAGGAAATAGGCTGAATTCACTCTCTCTCCTTCCAAGGTCTTCAAAGGTTCCTTATTGGCTTTCTGAAGTTCCCGCCCTGGGTGTCTGGTTAGATTCAGCCCAGGGATCTCTGGGAAATGTAGTTACAATGCCCCAAGTCACTCCTGTGGAGAAGTTGGAGTTTTTCATTGGTTGTTTTTAAAGAAAGTCATTTAATCATGTATGCTGACATGTTTATGAGTTAAATAGAATGTCTTGAATTATTTTCAATTTATCTATGGGCATAATAGATCATGAGTTTGTCATTGGATGGTATATTCAAAAGATCATTCTATCATATTTACTTTTGCATGAAGTTAAATTTTCTTATAAGTAGTTGTAGTAATAATGAAGTTTAATTTTACTACTTATTCTAAGTAGCAAAAGATTACATACTATGCTTTGGCACAAACTTCCTCTCTAGAAAAATTCCACAGGTAGTTTTCAGTACTCTGGATGATCACACGAAGCAGGAAGAACTAATTCAAAACAATGACATTCAGGCTGGGGATTTAGCTCAGCGGTTCGGTGGCCTGCCTTGCAAGCGCAAGGACCCGAGTTCAATCCCTGGTACCAAAAAAAAAAGAAACAAAACAATGACATTCTTGGGTTGATGATTGGCTCTTGCCTGGCATGTGGCACAATTAGACCAATGAGGTGTTATTGTTGGAGTTACATATTCCACTATGGAGATTGAGGACCCTATGATACCAACTCAAATCTATTGAGAGAACCTATGAAGAACAACACTAACAAGGAAACAAAGATGTTAAAAGACTTTGATGAAGTCTAATATTATCTTTTGTCAGTTAACATAAAAAAAAAGAAGAAAAAAGTCTCTTAGTTGTCAAACCCATCTAGGAAGGATTTTGTAACCTTCTATACCATGGCTTTGGTCTACTGAGATTTTATAAGTGACGACAGTGCCCAGAACTGAAGACTTAAGTTCTCTGCGATGTAGCACAGCCTTGGGTGATGTGATATTGTTCGGTGGCCTGCCTTGCAAGCGCAAGGACCCGAGTTCAATCCCCGCTACCAAAAAAAAAAAAGAAACAAAACAATGACATTCTTGGGTTGATGATTGGCTCTTGCCTGGCATGTGGCACAATTAGACCAATGAGGTGTTATTGTTGGAGTTACATATTCCACTATGGAGATTGAGGACCCTATGATACCAACTCAAATCTATTGAGAGAACCTATGAAGAACAACACTAACAAGGAAACAAAGATGTTAAAAGACTTTGATGAAGTCTAATATTATCTTTTGTCAGTTAACATAAAAAAAAAGAAGAAAAAAGTCTCTTAGTTGTCAAACCCATCTAGGAAGGATTTTGTAACCTTCTATACCATGGCTTTGGTCTACTGAGATTTTATAAGTGACGACAGTGCCCAGAACTGAAGACTTAAGTTCTCTGCGATGTAGCACAGCCTTGGGTGATGTGATATAAAGGGCTCTGCCCCTAAGCTGAATGTTGGTATGCTGAAAGGTACTCTTCCCTCATTAACTTTTCTTTTTCTATAATGTGTATATCCTTCCCATGTTTCCACTGTTTCCAACTTTCTCCACTTGTATGTCTCCAAAATTTTGCCAGAATCTATTACAGTAGTTGCCTTTTTTGTCATAATCACTTACGTCAATCCTCTTCCTCCAAACCCTGGCTCTTCCCTCACCGAGTATGCAAGAAAGACAGGAAAAAGCTGATTCAAAGAGAAAAATGTAGTTTTTATGTGATTGGTCATTTTCTTATGGCATTCTATACCATGGCTTTGGTCTACTGAGATTTTATAAGTGACGACAGTGCCCAGAACTGAAGACTAAGTTCTCTGCGATGTAGCACAGCCTTGGGTGATGTGATACAAAGGGCTCTGCCCCTAAGCTGAATGTTGGTATGCTGAAAGGTACTCTTCCCTCATTAACTTTTCTTTTTCTGTAATGTGTATATCCTTCCCATGTTTCCACTGTTTCCAACTTTCTCCACTTGTATGTCTCCAAAATTTTGCCAGAATCTATTACAGTAGTTGCCTTTTTTGTCATAAT